ACGCCATGTGGTCACCTCCGGGGCAGGCGGGCATCGAACTCATGTGGAAGTGGCTTTAGTTTCTTAGTGCTGTGCTTTAACCCACTGCACCACCAGGGAGAGCCCATCTTTTTCTTTCTATCTTTTTTTTTTTCTTTTTTAAGATTTATTTACTTATGCATACAGAGCTGGGGTACAGGCCAGAGGTGCAGGGGCAGAAAGAGGATTCACCAGAGACAGAGTGGGGAGTAGAAAAGGCTGACTGACAAAGTATACTGCTGAGGGGAGCAGCAGGACAGGGATCGAACTCATGCTGAAGTGGCTTTAGCTTCTTAGTGCTCTGCTTTAACCCGCTGCACCACCAGGGAGGGCCCGAGGTCAATAATCTTAAGGAATAGTGAACAGGAAGTAAACTGGATATTGGTAAATGCAATCTGGATGCTCAAAAGTGGCAGACTGATAGATTCCAAGCACTGTCTATCAGTTACTGTATATCCATCCCAGGAAGAGAAAAGAATAACATATTAGCTAGCAATGTGCTGTTAAATAATCTAAAAAGATGATTGGTGGCTTCAACGCATCCACAGATATTCCCTAAAAAAGGCCACACCAAGTTAATCTCGACTTTTTTTCTGACAGGAAATCAAATTGTCAGATCTAAAGAGGGTATAAGTCCGATTTTGTAATGACCTACCCTTGACAGAGGAGAAAAGAAGAGACATTATTAGCTATTACATGAGTGATTTCCTAAAGAAGTTTGCTCCTTTAGGAAATTTTAAGTCAACATTATAAAGAATATATTCTCACTCAGAATGAACCATGTGGAGAAAAAGAATTAAGATAAAATCTTTCTTTACTGATTTGAGATCAGGCCTTAATTTTTTTAATATTACTAAACTGAATTTCCCTGAAGCCAGACAAATCAACTCAATAATACTCTTGAAGGTTCAACTCCTCTGAGTGGGTCTCAGAAACAAGGAAGCCCCAAGAAGTACCTGCTTGGGGAAGATGAGCTGAGATGGATGAAGGGTGAGAACTTCTGAGAGGATGAAGGCCCAGAACAGGGGGAATCTTTATCACCTCCAATACCAGGCGCACCAAACTAAGGAAGGAAACCTGCACTAGACAAAAGCCTGCTTTAGGAATACGGACCAGAAAATTGGAGGCAGCAAGTCGGTGCCACTTCCCTTTGTCTACAACACCTACATTGTCAGCTTCTTTTCTCTTTTTCTGTTCTCTGTATGAAGGATGCTCAACCCATTTGCTCATATATGAAGGTCAGAAAGATTTGAAAGGCACTTTAATTCACCTCTAAAAGAACATGTGAACTTTAAACAAAGCAATTGATATTTGCAAAGAAGGTAGAGCAAAATAGGCAGGACAGCATGTAGTAAGTGACAGCTGTTTAGATTCCAATCAAAAATCACTAAACAGTGTTAACATGAAAAGAGTGATCTGATCTTTGACCATAGACTCTCCCTGCCATTTACCCTATTCAATATTTTAAATCAAGACTTCTATTAAGATAAAGATGGTCAGCTTATCAAATCTGAAGGCTCTACAAAGCTAAAGGGAATAGGTAATAAAAAGGGCACACATCTAGGTTTTTTTTTAGTTTCAGCAAAGCATATGTGAAGCAGTGAAAAGAATGTTCAAAATGAGCATGACAATAATGTGAGATACACGGCATGACTGAGCATGTTAAAAGCCCTGGGAGTTCTAATGGACAGGAAGCTCAGTTAACATTATGATGACATTGCTGAAAACAGCTAATGTAATCTTATACTTAATGATAAAAATAGGATAGGGGGAGTAAATGGTCCCAATAGACCCACAAGAGTTGGTACAAATCAGACCAAACAGACAATTATTGGACCCATGTGTAAGTGCCAGTTTTAATGGAACACTGATACTAAACGCACAGAAGAGAGCATTCTGAATACTAACAAGACCTGAAACCATAGGATATGAAAACAGCTGAAGAAATGAGAGCTGTTTAACCTGGAGAAGAAGAGGTACTGGAAATGTGTGACCTCATCTTCGAATATTTAAAAGATTATCACATGGCTTAGGAAATCATGTTCTTAAGGTCTTGGTGAGTTGAACTAAGATTAGTAGGTCAGGGCCCTCTCTGGTGGCGCAACAGGTTAAAGCACAGCACTATGACGCTAGAAACAGCCAGTTCACAAGTTCGATCCCCAGCCAGGGAGGTGTCCCACACCGTGTGGCAGACCTCTCCTGACCCGCCTTTTGCTCCCCTCAGCAGTGTACTTTGTAGATCTGCCTGTCTCGCTCCCCACTCTGTTTCTGGTGGAGCCTCTCACCATCCCTGCACCTCTGGCCTGTACCCCAGTTCTGTATTTCTGTATGCATAAATAAATATTTTTTTTTAAATTAAAAAAAAAAAAAAAGACTGGTAGGTCAAGTTGCAGGAAAGTTTATCTCAGTATGGTGTAAGAAAGAACTGTGTTAGTGAGCTGTCCAAGGACAATTGCCTCTTCAATCAGACATGTCCTGGCTAATAAACCAAGGTTTGTGGAATATAGGCAAACCATCTGTCCCCAGAGATAATAGAGGGAATGCTACTCAGAAAACTCCCAGCTCTAAGAGTCAGTGAAACGACTAGTGCTTAGTATATACAAACATCTCAGAGAGCTCATAAACACTGATAATAAGTGGTACTTAGAGAATGTAAAATATTTTAAACTAAGTCAGAACAAAGTCCAATTAGTAGTTTTGAGCAGATTAGTAAGGGAGGAGTTTTGAATAATAAGAACCTACTTGGAATGAACTCTAGGTAGAATTAGGTTTATTCCTCTATCCCTTATTATTCAATAAAAAAAAAAGTATTTCCAAGTCATTGGTTAAAGAGTATGGAGTACAGGATGTTCACCAAAATATGGAAACACAAGCAAATCCATAACATAGTTTTTCTTGATCTTGCATTGTAACAAGGGATAAAACATTATTTAAGTTTCTATCCTGTATGATTTTAAAGAAAATTAACACTATTAGTTAACACTATATATATATTAAACATTTATGTTTTATCATCTGATTCTCAGGAAAGCCTATAAGTATTAAACTATTATCCCTTTTTTACTGACATGGATGGAAACTGAGAATTAAATAGAAATTGTCAGTTAAGTGACTAGTGCACAGTCACTGAGGTAGTTTCCACAAATTTGTTTATTATATGTCAGATCTAATAATATGTATTTCCCACTCATTTTCTAATTAATCTTCCGTAACTATGAATACAGAAATATACATTCATTCCCACTTTACAGATAGGAAAATAAGACTTCTAGAGGCTAAATAATGAAAGTAACTAATATCACACACTTGCAGAAATTTCAACTTAATTCTACTTGACCTTAATGTTCACGTTCTCATTCTATTACTGCCTTTGATTAAACTGTTCTTTCATTCTTAGAATTATAATACTGATTTAGCTATTATCAAAATAACTAGTACAGAGACGTGAAACTGGATAAAACAAAACAAAATATGAAATTTATTTTACAATATTACTAAGTACTGCTTATGGGTAGTATCAACTGATACTATAATAGAATTTTTTTATAATTTTGGAATTCTAGAAAAAACAAAAGTAGAAAACTTAATCAACTGAGTGATTCATATTACCCACTTTATTTTTTATTATCTGCTTTGTTTTCAGTGGCAGACTTGAAACTGAATCTTGCTGAATCATCTAACCAGCTGAATAATCACAGTCAAGACATATTCTTTCTGTACCTTAACTTCCTTTTTGAGAACATGGGGATGAAATACCAACTTCCTTTTATTCCCACATGTAAACGCCAACGCCACTTGCCTCATTTATGTCAGTCAAGGTAAGTAAATGGCTTAATTTACACTATAATATACTAGCTAATTTCTTAAGTAGAAAGTCAAGTTTGTATCCAAGTTTTATCTTAAAAACTTCAATACGTCAACGTAATGTGAAATTTCCAAAAAATCAACCACATTTACCCATAATCAATTGCATCATCAAAGTTGAATATATTCACACCTATCTCTCACTGAAAAAATATTCAATTCTTTTGCTTGCCAGCATAAGTTCATATAAGGAATCATTAATTTTAAATTTAACATAAAAACTATCAATGTTTCAATTATAGGGGAAGCTCAAGTAGCAAGAGGTTTATTTCAATAATATGCATAATAAATTTGAAAAACATATACACCTTCCCCAAATATTTTAAATGTCCCTGAAGTAACAGAATTTTGTAACAGCTGTGACATCTGCACTTGTTAATAATTCACCCATTGCACACAACGTTGTGTGTCATGTTTGGGAGCAACTCTGTGTAATCAACTGATTAAATAAGCAAACTGCAAAAGAAGAGCAGAAGGGTGACCTTGACCTTAGAGGCCTTTGAGCAGAACGGTCCAGGATCTAGTCTCACATATGTGACAAGCGTTGCTCATGTGCAAACTTGACTACATTAGCACATGACTCCTCAATTAAAATCATGAGTCTTTCCCTAAGTCTTCGTGACTCTGTGAGGTTTGCCCTGCCGTTTATATTTTGCAGATGAAAAAAAAAAAAATGAGACTTGGAGAAAATAAATAACTAGCCCAAGGTTACACAACTGCAAAGATTCCAATCTAGTCTACCTGATGCTAATGAAACCAAAGCTACAGGGAG